CGCCTTCTATGCCTCCGGTTCCCGTGGAGCATGTGTCCGCCGTTGCCACCACACAGCTTTTGCACACGTCCAAGGCTCCAAGCTGGTGTTCGTACTACAGACTACGGTCTACAGTACGGGTTAGAAATCATTCACCGTAATTTGCGTTCAACAGCGTGGTACCGTCCTTGTTGCCGTATCGCCTGATCGCCAGATCATTGTACTAGCACATATGCTAGCTAATTTTCGATTTTCAAATCCTGTACGTACAAATCATTTCCAGAAATGCTATATAACATACATGTGTTTTAGCGCAAAAAAAATATATGGATTTTTTTATCTCTCTCCCTCTCTCTTTCTCACCGGTGACCATCGGCGCCGGCGCCGGCGACCGGCGAGCTCGCCCCGGCGCCTGCGCGTCTGCACCCACGCCCGGCATGCCTCCCTGCGCCCGCGCCGGCCATGGCAGTGGCGGTGGCGGCGGCGGATCTGTGATTTGTCCTTCCATAGAAAAAATTTATGATCTGTGGAGGCTGGAGGCTGGGGGTAGAAGAAGGGTGGAGGCTGTTGGATCTTAATCCTATTGTAAAAAAAATCATGTGTTGAAACTACATAAAACACATGGTTGTATAGTAGACAGACTTAATCATTTAATGCCAGTTTAGATCGTACGCATTCAAAAAGAAAATTAACATTGGACGAACAATAATGCCGTCCATGCATTCATCAGGAAGTGTCCTTGTGCTCCTAAAACAACCGCAGACATGAATCGGATGCTCATGTTGTCAACAGTTAGGAACACATATTTTTAGAGCCCGTTTACATCACTTGGCGTTTGCCCAAAAAAAAAAGAAGCACTCATAGATTGTGGATTGAAAAAGTTGAATAAGTCTGTCAATTGTAAAGGCTGGCACATGTACTTGACTGTTATGATCCTTAATCAAACTGAACGAGACTAGATTTTGGGATTAATAAAAATTAACATGTAGATTGTCAGAGTTGTTTCAACAAGTTGTCCAAATAGAGAGGACCATGTTAAAGTTCTTAATGAGCCTAGACTTTGAATACATGAACCTCATGCTAAAGAAAAGAACATGACGAACCATTTGGATTTCCTCCCATTTCCAATTGATACACTTGGGTGCTACCAAAAGGCTCTTCCGTAGTCCATATGTCACGCAGTATTAGACATGTGTGCATGTGGTAAAGTATAGCAACTGGATGATTTATAAAGAAGTACGGGTACTTATATACATGGTCGATGTGTCACGGAGTTTGACGTTTAGGATAGGGAATGAAGCTACCGTGTTCTTGTATGGATCAGTGTTCCTAGTCACGCACACGCAGTCACATAGAAAAGTGCATGAAGTTACTCTTACTGCGATAGATGCAACAACCTATCACCAAAACCCGGTCCACACACACATGTCCGGATCCAACGATCGCCGTATTTACTTAGCTTATAAATCATACTTTTTTAACTAATAAATAATATTTTTCCTCTGACAACCGATCAGCCGTGGCTCCGCAAATTTTCCCCGGACTTGTAAATCGGACACGGATGAAAAAAAAAAAGAACGCCAAGTCAAATCAACCAATCCTATAAAGCGACACCTCACGGGATAACCACCGTAGACTCCGCGCCTCTTCCCCACCCTCACCTCACCCCACACGCGCTGACGCGCTTTCGCCGCACCAAAGCGTCGTGAGCTGCTACTTAACCTAACCCCACCGCCAAACAATTCCCCATTCCTGATTCCAACCAGCCCATTCGAGTACACACACGGGGAGCGGGGGAAGCCAAGAACAAGCAGCGATAGTCGTCTTGCGCGCTGGTGTGTGTGGAGAGAGAGGAAAAGTCGGATTTTGTTTTACGGCTGCTGAGGAGAGATGTTGCGGGCGGTGGCGAGGTGCTGCTGCCACTGGCCGCCGGAAGCCGCCGGCGGCGGACGAGATGCTGTGGCAGACGGAGCTGCGGCCGCACGCGGCGGGGAGTTCTCGATGGCCGCGGCGCAGGCCAACCTGGTCATGGAGGACCAGGCGCAGGTGCTGGCCTCCCGGCCGACACGCTCGTCGGCGTCTACGACGGACACGGCGGGCCCGACGCCTCCCGGTTCCTCCGATCCCGACTCTTCCCCACGTCCAACGTGCGTTTGATTGCTGTTTACTGGTATCCGCCTCCTCCTTTCTGTGCCTTTGGTCGTTCCTCGCTGATTCTGAGTTTCATGTGGCAGGCTTCGCAAGGGAGCAGGGGGGCATGAGCGCGGAGGCGATTCGGAGCGCGTTCGGCGCGGCTGAGGAGGAGTTCCATAAGCAGGTGAGGCAGGAGTGGACGAAGCGGCCGCGGCTGGCTGCTGTGGGCTCATGCTGCCTGCTCGGGGCCATCTCCGGGGACACGCTGTACGTGGCCAACGTCGGTGACTCCCGCGCCGTGCTCGGCCGTCGAGTGGTCGGCGGCGGGGTCGCTGTCGCCGAGCGGCTGTCCACCGAGCACAACGCGGCGTCCGAGGAGGTGCGGCGGGAGCTCGCCGCGCTCAACCCCGACGACGCGCAAATCGTGGTGCACGCCAGGGGGTCGTGGAGGGTGAAGGGGATAATTCAGGTGAGAACGCGATCAGCTAGCCGACTCATTTGATTGATTTGGTGCGCCTGTGGTGGGATTTGGGGGAAAATATCTTTCTTTGGTTGCTTCTTGGTGTGTCTGCGTTAGAATTTGGAGTAGTTTGTTTGCGAGTTAACATATTACGTGGTGGCATTAAGTCTGTAACAAAATTATATTATACTGTTAGTTCCCTGATCTGTACTCCAGTGTCAACAAATTATGCCCCAGCGTGAGCCAGAGGACCAGAGATTTGGAAATCAAGCTTCCTCGATCTTTTAGCAAGTCATACAATTTTCTCCTTTTCTTATGCCTGTTCTGCTAACTTTTTGATGATCTATGCTATGACGGGTTAAATATTACAGTATTGCTGAAATGGAACTAACACAATGGAAAAGTCTCCCTCAAAGATTTTACTAGTATATACAGTAGGACTTAAAAGCTGTTCGATCATACTGAAGATTTTTTCTAACTACTCAAAGAAAGAACACTCCACCTTTTGACTTTTCCTATCTTGATATCACTATTATGCTAAATATCTTTTCAGACTTCAGTTCGTGTACAACTTAGTATGTACAACTCAGCTTAGTATTCCTGGGACAGTAACCTGCACGTGAGCTACTTTATATATCTGACCTAACTTATGAATTTCTACACATTATTTGATCAACTTATGTATCATATCTTCTTGTTGCATATCTCCCGATCGATATTCTCCAAATATCTTTTCAGTCATTATAACTTAGCTTAGTATCCTGATCTTGCAACTTCTGCACGTGGTCTGCATCTTTGTGTTGCAAGCTGCTCTATTGGCGAACTATTGTACCTGGCCAAGTGGCCACCACTTGTGAATGTGATATGTGAAGTTTCACATAAGTAGAAAGCTAATATGTGAATGTTGTAATGTCAGGTGTCAAGATCCATTGGTGATTTTTATCTGAAGAAACCGGAGTATAGCTTGGACCCCTTGTTTCGGCAAGTTGGCGCCCCTATTCCATTGAAGAGGCCAGCTCTTAGTGCTGAACCATCAGTTCAAGTACGCAAGCTGAAACCAAATGACCTATTTCTGATATTTGCTTCGGATGGTCTTTGGGAGCACCTCAGTGATGATGATGCGGTGCAAATTGTCTTCAAGAATCCGAGAACCGTAAGTGATCCTCATTGGTCATTTCATTATAAGGTTTTTGAGTATGCTTACATCGTTTGCAGTCTAACTAATTAAGTCTTCACAAACTTTTTCAGGGGATAGCCAACAGATTGGTGAAGGCTGCCTTGAAGGAAGCAACAAGGAAGAGGGAGGTCAGGTATCGTGACCTGAGGACGATCGACAGGGGAGTGAGGCGGCATTTCCACGACGACATCAGCGTCGTTGTGGTCTACCTTGATCGCCACCGTGAGCGCCGCCACACCAGGGTCATCGACTCGAGTAGCAACTGCACCAGTGCACCCGTGGACATCTACTCCAACGCCCATCAGTCTGTGGAGCCATTGCACGCTTATAAGAGCTGAACTCTGGGTAGAGGACTGTTGGGTTGTCTTGCAAGTTAGGCTCTCTCTTGCTGGTGAACGGTGGAGTTGCAGAGCAGGGGGACGACTCACTGCAGTGCCATTGCCATCGGAAGAACTCGAGATGTACATAGATAGCGTGGGGTGCGTAGCATTTTGATGCCGGAGAATATCATTTGGTCCCGAACTACGTAGATAATTGGTTTATCACAGCATTTTCTTGTTTCTTTTTTGTCTGATTATGCTTAACCAGCAGCAGGCCCATCCATTGGGTCGGGCTTGATTTAAGAAATCTGTAATACTCGTGAAATAGTTGATGACAAACTGGAGAGGTTAGTGGAGACCAAAGAATATATGCTCTGCTTACGATCTGAAGGTTAGGTTGTGACCTGAGAATATATACTCTTTGCAACGGATGAGATGCTCTTATTTCATATAGCAATTAGCATTGCTTTTTGTCGGAAACTTCTTTACTTTATGTATGTAGTGACAAGATTACCTCTAACTGGAATCGTTGAAATTCTTCATAGTTTGTGATGTGGAAAGGACTGTTCAAATATCTCTTCGTACTGTTTAGAGGAACGGACTGTTCAGATCGTTCGCTGCGTAATTTTGCTTTCCGTTTTGATAATGTACAGCGGCTTTACACGTTCCTCTCTTCCTCAGTCCTCTTCAGAATACGTCTTCCAAATGGGAAGACGGACTCCAAAACTGGGCGTCTCTTCTGATTCCCTGAGCGGCTGAGCCAGTGAGCCTACAGGCTACATACAGCCTAGAAGCTTCCACACACTATTTCACAGACCCCAACACCCAACTCCAAAAGGCCAAAACCCCAAACCCTCGTTCCCCAATCCCCATCGCCATTATCCGAACCCAAGCCAATCCCCAGGGCGCCGACCGCAGAACCGAGCCCAAAATGGCGGCCGCCTCCTCCATGCTCACCGCCGCGTCGCTCTCCTTCTCCCCGCTCCCAGCCCCGCGCCTCCGCGCCGCCGCCTCCTTCGCTCCGCCGCGCCGCGCGGCAGCCGCACTCGTCGTGCGCGCGGCGGCCGCCTCGTCCAAGTCCCCGGCCGCGGAGGAGGCGGCCCCGAAGAAGAAGAGGGCGACGGGCATCACCCAGCCGAAGCCCGTGTCGCCGGCGCTGCAGGCAATCGTGGGCGAACCGGTTATCCCCCGCACCGAGGCCCTCAAGCGCCTCTGGGCCTACATCAAGGAGCGTAACCTCCAGGTCCCCGAGCAAAAACCCTTGCTTACTTACGCTGTATCTGTACATTTTGGTTGGTATTGCTTGTTTGGATGCATACTGAAGATTTTTAATAGCATCAAGCAGGAATTAACGTGACCGTTTTATTCTGAAAGGCACCAAATTTTAGTTGATGCGGTGTACGATTCTACCAATACTCACTGTAGGGTTCTACCATTGGTCAATGGTGCATCAGTTAGGATTCTGCCAATAGTCACTGCATAAATTAGGGTTTGTGCAATCAAACTAATTGCACCATGATTGGTTTTCTCACAATGGTTCAGTCAATGAAGTAAATGAGAGGCCTGTACATGACATTTTTAATACAACTTTGAAGGCATCCTGATCAAGTGGCAGTACATGATATTTGAGTGTGTGGTCTTAGGGCCTGTTTGGATACAAGGGCTAATCACTAGCTAGCTAAAAATGACCTCTAGTACATCCAAACAGGAGAGCTAATAGGTGGCTAATTTTTAGCCAAGTGTTCAACTAGTAGTTAGCCAACTAGCTAGACAACCATAGCTAATTTGAGCTAATTTTTAGCCCAGCTAATAATTAGCCATGTGTATCCAAACAGGCCCTTAGATATAGAGCCTGTTTGGATGAGCTAGGGCTAGTTACTGGTTAGGCTAAAAATTAGCTCAAATTAGCTGAGATTGGCTAGCTAGTTGGCTAACAACTAGTTCAAGACTTGGCTAAAAAATTATCCCACTTATTAGCCCTCCTGTTTGGATGCACTAGGGCTAATTTTTAGCTAGTAGCAATTAGCTCTTGTATCCAAACAGGCCCGTTGTGTAGCATTTAAGATGATGTGTTGCGGGTGATGTTATGATTTGAAGTTGTAATACGCAGTGTGCTGGTTATGACAAAGATAGGATTGTCCTATACTTTTCTTTGATATGTTTGTTAAACAGAATATGATTTCTAGTTTTTATGCTGTTAAAATTTCTATTTGCCTGCATCATCTATTGTTTGAAAGATCTTCCCTATTCTATATCTTGAGTTTTGACTTTCGATCAATACAGGTGTTTGTTGTTTTGGGTTGTCAATTGCGATGAGTTGGCACATGTAACACAATGTTTATAATCAAAGTCCCTGGAAGCATGCTTGGACTTTGGATTTAGTATTATGATAAAGTTGTTAACCTTGGTAATGTGCTAATTATGATGATCGAATGGTCTGAGGTTCATCTCCTCATTAATCAAGGATTACCTGCTCCCCAAATATCCTAAAAAAATTAGGGATATGCACAAAGGATGTAGGGTGTATTAGAATTTGAAAAGGTCAAACATTGTGATCTTTTTTACTATCAATTAGTGAAAAATACAAGTATGTTTTTGTCTAGTGCACAAATGGTGCATCAGTAATTCAGTACATTCAGTCATTTTCACATGCATTTAGTAAGATGTTGGTTTGGAGTAACTGGTAATATATTATACGAGAAATTAATGATCAAAGCATAACGACGACTTTCTCAACTCCTAATACGCCTTATAAAAAGATGCATTGCTCATGATTCATGCTTTTATCAAAGTCCATTTTACCATCTGCATTCTAATTTTCACTGTACCCTATCTGCTGATCACAGTAAAGATGATCTCTCTCTCTATTTAACTATACATTGTGTGTTGCCTTGTCTAACACATTTGCCCTTGCTTTCAGGATCCTTCTGACAAAAAGGTGGTCGTTTGTGATGAGAAGCTGAAGGTCCTGTTTGCTGGGCGGGAGCGAGTTGGATTCCTTGAGATCGCCAAGCTTCTCAACCCTCACTTTGTGAAGTGAGAAGGCACTCCCAGGAGTTGAGTTGGCCTATGGTTGGTCACTTGTGATCTAGAGAGTGCGTGGGTTGGTTTTTGGTAGACTGAGACCCTGAGTTAGCTCGACTTCGTAGAATGCTGTAGCTCTTGCAAACGATGTTAGTGTGTGCGCCCTTTGTGGTGGTCTGGTGGTAGTTATATGAATCACTGCTTGTTCCTAGTAGCCTTCAGCTCGTATGCAGTTAGCCTGTGTGGTGGGAAGTAATGTGTTCTGCTATGGTTTAAGCATTTGCCCAGTTAACATTGCCAGATTGGCTTCCTTGTCCTTGCAATGGATATAAGGATATTGTCGTGCGATTTCTCATCCTACATGGATTGGTTGTCTCATTCGGATTTATCTGGTGAGCTATCAACTTAGTAGAGTGATTGAATTGAACAGCCTTGTCGTTGCCTGAACCTAAGCTGGTTAGGCAGGCCTATTTATACCTGGGCCAACATTGGGCCCAGCCCTGCAACACTATCGGGCCCAAAGGTGGAGTTTACACCTCCAAAGTCCAAATGCTTCGCCATTTCGGCCTACACAACGCGAGGCAGCAGAGTGCAGAATTACTAATAGCGCAATAGCGGATCTTGTTTGAGACAAATTTCGTCGGTTTTGAGAATCTGCACTACGGAGCCTTGTTACGTGTGGTTTTGAGTGCTTCACGCAACCGGCGCCGGGTGCGGTCGCGTGCATGAGGCGACGGATGACGCTTTTTTTTTCCCCTGTGAGAGAAAAATATTATCGTCTCGTTTGCTTGGTTTATAAGCTGTACTTAGCCAGGCTGATAAGTTCAAACGAATAAGCTTATGATCAGTTGTAAAAACCATCAGCGGAACAGCTCGTAAGATAGGCTGCTCGGCGCTGCTGCGTACTGCTAGCTCCCAGCACCAACAGCCACTGCCACGAGACAAAGATGGCGACGAACGAAACCGCGTGCTTCGCCGTCTACCACCCGAGCGAACGCGGCTCCCACACGGATCTCGGCAATCGGCAATCAGCAATTACCAGGGCCCGTCGCGATCCCCAAATCCGATCGTTCACTGATTTTTTTGGCCAGCGAACGATCCCGACCGGGTCTGTATGCGGGACGTCTGCACCTACCCCATATGGTTTCAAGTGCCTCACGCCATTTTTTAAAAAACGAACCATTTATTTTAAAATCCTATAGCCCTGTTCGTTTATCTTATGATTCGTCTTTTTCAGCTTGTTTTTTCAGCTGAAACAGTGTTTTTCTCTCACAACAAATCAGCCGGAACAGTGTTTCAGCTTGTTTTTTCAACGAAATAAACGGGGCCTATAACTTCCGAACAATGTATCTATTTTTGATTTCGTCTGTATCCGATGTGTTCTACGCGATGAGACGAATAAAACTATATCCCACTTTCATATGTTTCAAAGAATTCGTTTCTAGTAACAATTTATTTATATTAACTTATAACATAGAACTTATAACTTAAAATATAAGTTATACATATATGTTATGTTATATAACTTATTTCTATAACTTATATTGATAACTTGGACAATATAACATTTGTTGATGCAAAAGTGGATCTGCAAACACAAAGGGCTAATACCCAAATCGATATCCAAAGCGTGCCAGTCGATTTGACCTGTTAATCGACAAGGATGAAGATACGAGCACTTTGGTCCTGACAACAGCGATACGCCCGGAAGTCACGGCCAAGAGGTACTCACGCGGAACTCGAGAATCGCCGAAGGTCGCACTGAGACAATGCAACTCGCCGAATCAATGAGAACTCGTAAAAAGAAAAAATATGCAAATTGACGAAGTCGCCGAAAAGTAAGTAGATGTAAATAGGAGTAAAACTTGGTTTTGATATTGATTGATATCTTCATGACATTGCCCCTCACTCCATATTTATACCCTGATCTAAAGAGACACAACCAAACACAACTAGGACACCAAGCCCATATCTAAGGAAACACGTGACTCTTACATGAGTCATACTCTAACAAATATAGAAAAGGAAATCAACTCCTATCTATTTCCCTGTCCGCCTCAATTACGATGGAAATCTCACCGTCCTCCTTCCCATCGGCATACTCCCCGTTTGATCGGCAGAGTCTTCAAGTCTTCCTTCATCGGCATACTCCCCTGTTTCGCCGGCAATAGTCTTCAAGTCTTCCTTCATCGGCATACTCCCTGTTTCATCGGCAGTAGTCTTCAAGCCTCCCTTCATCGGCATCGACAATAACACCTCCAACCTCATCGGCAACGCCCGAGTCTAAATCAACCTTTCCATCGACCACCACCACTATCGGCAACCATCTTTACAAGTCGGCTTTCATCGGCTATCGAGTATCTGATAACTTTCCCTTGCCGATTAGTCCACTCCGATCATTTTGACACGTGCAAAAAACGGTGTCAACACATGCCCCCCAATTTCGGAGTATAAAACCATTAATGCTCCGAAATTTACTCCAGATAACGTTTGCCTTCGCCCGATTACCGTAATTCATTCTCCAAGCCAAAACTTGATCTCGTTATCAAATCCAATCAAATCTAATCTCGATTCACGACTTCAAGTAAATATCGCACAATCGCCAACTACTCTTGCCTTGATTATGGTTAAGATACCGAAATAATAACCCATCGGCAAGGGTCTTAACATGATAATCTTTGTCGTTTTCGTAATTAAAATATCCTGCATCGATATCTCTTCCAAGTCATGATTACTTGCCATCAACTCATCTGTACAATCCCACGATTATCGTATGTAACAGTTACCATATCCATCCGAACCACCTCGACCTACATGCATGCGGTATAGAGATAAGTCCAAAATACCCTACTCCAAGCGGCTTATAAATAGATTCCTCCGGAACACTCGTCTTCTACCCTCGGACTCCAATCTTTGACATTTTCTCTTCCCGGGTGGCGACTCGACGAACAAGCTGCATGACCTCAATCAACAAGAACTCTTCTCCGGTCATTAACCTCAAGTCTCCGGCTCGTGTTCCCCATCTTCCTCAAGATAATGGCAATCAACTTCGACGCCCCCTGCGGTTCGCTCCACTTCCATTACCTTTTACTTTGATCCCCTAGTTTTTGCAAATCCATATAGTTGGTGATTTTTCCTTTCTTTTGTTCTTGAATCCTTTAAACTTAGGAGCTGCGCAACAAATTAGTTATTCCAACCGATCATCACCGCATGTCCAATGCCTAGGACCAATGGGCAACCCAGATCCAGCTCGATCCGATTAATGCAGAGGTTAACAGAATCCCTTTAGAGCCCAAAATTTCTCTCTGAATTTATGGAAAGACACATTCCGATCTTGGCCCAAGACCACCAAAGGGTGGAAAGATTGGTACTTGAGAGTTAATAGATCGATGCAAGTATATTCTGGTCAGACACAACAAACACTTTTATGTTTGGACATGGCCCAGCTACTCCCACACTTGCCGATGTCCACATGCTCACTGGCTTGGATATTTCAACTGCCGATGAAGGCTCTATCTATGGTAGAAAATCTGAATATAGGGTGAATACCCGCAACATCGGCGGTTGGACGGGATACATTCAAGAATACCGAGAAGACCGGACACTTAACCGGAGGAACATGCCACATTCTTGAATATGTGGTTAGAAAAATTTATCTTCGTGTGGTCGATCAAGGACCAACCAACGCCTTCCTCCCCCGCAATGCCTGAACTTTTGGCTAATGGTGTAAGGTTTCCTCTTGGCCGATACCTTCTGAGCTCCACTTATCATCTTCTTCATCAAGTGTCTCAGAAACTTTTGTTTAGCGAACCCATCAGCAACCTAGGAGGCCCGTGGTGGTTTATCAACATGTGGGTGAATGCCCATATGCACAAACGTTTGCAATGGGACTTTTTGCCCAACAATTCCCACGAGAAATTCTGTGAAGACCATGTGCTCGGGGGACGATGAATCGGCAACACGCGCACACCCTCAATTTTGGTGAAGCCATAATTGTCCTTCCCGAATAGAGGCCAATGAAGACCGGATCGTGATTCTTCCAAAGCTTCTACAATGGTCTTTCTCGTGATCATAGGGCCTGGGTACCTTATATTGACGAGGAAAACAGATTCCCCTTCTTTTCAACTTCTTTGATGACACCTCGAATCGGGATAAGGAACTCATGATGGCCATCATTACTCCTGTGGCAATTCCGGTAAATACATTTGGTAGCGGGAAAAACACCAACATTACGTATGAATTTTACAACCCATCAGCAGTATCCCGTCAATTGGCTTTTGGGCCACTGCCAATCAAACTTTGCTTTGCCGATGTGATCAAACCCAGGGAAACAATCACCTGTGGAACAGATTGGAACAAGGTAGTACAACTCTCCCCCGATGCCGATACTACAGATGTTGATATATCCACCTAGACGCCACTATCCTTCATCACCGAGTCATATAAGCAATGGTGGCGAGAGTGGAAGGAACAATTGTTTGCAACTTCTGCTCACACATATCGGCACATGATCGACCCTGAATATGCCATCCCTGATGACGTAGTAAGTTTCTTTTAACTCCCTTCTGCTTTTCCCTTCATATATCAGTAACTGACTCTCTTATGACAGGTTAACAACCCAGCACCATCTGTGAGCAAAAGTGGGAAACCCTTCGATCTTCAGCCTGTTTCCCTGATATCATCGATCGGCTACAACGCCCCCACCTTAATTGCTTTGACTCACCAGAAGATCCGTACCAAGACCATCACCTCTAAGTCCAAATTGGCTACAGCTAGGGCCACTCCATCGGCTGCTGCTATAACCTTGGTCAAGGCATTCAAGGTAACAACCTTGTTTATTTCTACTTATGCCGATCACAAATCGTATTAACATTAACCATCGGGGGGGTAGAGAGTCTTTGGATCGTCATCGGCAATTCCTCCGATATCAAGCACCACTTCTTTTGACAAACCTTCAGAGGTATCCTCTTGACTTTTCATTTTATCTGTTAAATATCATACCTTACACTTGTTTTG